CTGTGCTGAAAATTCAACACACACACACACACACACACACACACAATCCCTGTGCTGAAAATTCAACAAGGGATGCACCGTTGGAAGGATCCAGCCTCAGTACAGAAGCTCCAACTATCACATCTACTGTCAGGAAGGCAAAAAAAACACTTTTCCAAACACCTTTCCTTGCTGGCTCCCTGTGCCTTTTCACAGCTGTCTCTATAACACACTCATTGGCATTGCCCATGAATAGCTGTTAGTTTTCCAAGCCTTTACCTTCATGCGGCTGTAGACAGTAGAGACTGGTGTGATCTTGTGCTGCCGGTGTGCACCGATGATGCCACACAGCCCACAGATCACCTCTTGGTCAGGCTCACAGAAGAGACTGAGGGGGTTGTGGTGGATCGGGCAGGACTCTTGAGTGGGGTTTGACTCGCCCATGGCTTGCAGTGCCTCTATGACCCGGGCGAGTGTCACGTTGGGTGGTGAGCTGCTGCAGTCAACAGCCTGGCGGCACACAGGACATAGGAACTGCCTGTCCAGGTCACATGAGAGGGACACCACACAGGACTTGCAGTAGGAGTGTCCACACTGGAGCATCAGAGGTTCCTTGAAGACCTCCAGACAGATGGGACAGAGAAGCTGGTCCTCCAGTTCACTGATACTCATCTTCCGAGCCATCCTGCAATGGGCTTCTGACCCCAAAAGTTCGGTTGGTCCAATCTCGTTGGAGGATAGAGGGGGGAACACTTGGTCTGGAAAATATGGAGAAAGTGAAAACATTTCCTAATGTAATGAGGAAGATGCTTGTGGTGGAAATGTATCACCCCTAGGCTAATGGACTTAGGAAGAGCACAGCATTGCCAGCACTGAGTAAACCTTCAGACACATCAATCCCTCTAGAGATCCCTCTCATAGGGATAACATTTCACTGGGGCTGATGTAAGGGTGCTTCCAATCAGGCTAGGACATGGAATGAAGGACAAAAGCTTACAGTGCTGGGTCCCTTCCTGACATTCAGCACCATCAGTTAATGACATGTGAAAGTCCTGCTTATGGAACACAGCTGAGGTTTGTGAAAGGGAGAAGCGATAGCTAGTTATTTCTGTCACACCCAGTGTAGAAGGTCATGAGGGCAACAATATCCCTGCCTCCCCTGTGGGGTTCCACACAGTAATCCTTCCCTACCAGCCTGCTCAACATCTGTTTGAAATGGTATGGGAAGGTTATTTAGGTTTTCTAGCTGAGGTCTCCCTGTTGAGCATATTCTTTTTGGGTCTAATGAATCACAGAGCCCATGCACACTCAAGTGCCAGAACTAAATAGATAACTCCAAACTTGATGCTTCTTTTTCTGCTCACATGAACACCATCATCTCCCACATCTCTGTGCCTGGAGAACTTCAGCACTTGGACAAAAAGCAGCAAACCCAAGGCAAACCAAGGCCAAGTGGAGGTGATGTTTCTATATAGCAAGGGCAGCATGGCAAAGAATTTGCCACTACTGTGCAGTCATCCTTGATGAGAGATCCTTTAGACAAGGAGTCTAGAGAACCAGAAACTTTGCCTAAAGGAGACCAGAAACCTCCTTTAGAACAAAGCTGCAATCAGATCCATTGCCTTGACCACATCTTCACAAGCTACCCGGGGAACAGGAAGACAGAAAAGACCCTTTTCTGTGCTGTTTCTAGTAGGCAAATAGTAAAGCAATGAGCACAGACAGACCACACAGAAATAATTAAAATATAATCCCAAAACAACATAGAAAAGATAGATTAGCAAGAACCACCAAAGATGACATCAAGAACACAAAGAACACTGGTAAAAAATGGCAAGGATGTGGAGTAGATGCTTCTAATTACATGAGTTCAGTCTCCTCTTAGCTTAACAATGCATAGATTGGGGAGGGTTTTTTTTTTTAATAAATTCAGATAAATGACCTTACCGCCCTTACCAACTCCCAGCAGCCAGCAATACCCAGCTTTCAGGGCTCTGGCTGTTTCTTTGGCTCCTGCAGACTCCTTCACAGCTGCTGAGTGCCCACCAGGAGAGTATACCTTGATGCGTATTATTCAGCCTGCCTGTCTCTGACAGAAGTTACCCATCTCTTTCAAGCAACAGGATATGCCAAGTGATGGAATCACAACTACCTCAGCCTGAAAGTGAGAAAACCCTCTCGACCGGCTTCTTCCTTTTCCTTGTCTTCATGTCTCACTGAAAGCTCCCCCTTTTGTCTTCAGACGTCTGTTTCCCATAGAGGAGAAAGGTGGGACCTAGAGCCAGCAACCACAGAGTCAGGTCTAATAATGAGAACCCAGCTATTCCTCCACACCCATCCATGGTGGGTACTTCGTGCCAACACCCTCCCACACCCCTTGCTCCACTCCCCCCAGTCAGTGCAGCACAGTGCTTGCTGGAAAGCAGGTGTAAGCACATGCATCATATGACCAAATAGCCAGCCACAGAGAGCTCCGTGCTTGATAAGAGACTTGGATGTTTGTTTGAGTTAGCTTCCAGTTTCCAAGAAAGTCCTTTTGCGGTTTAAGGGAAGCCAGTCCCATTAGTAACGTTGGGAGAAATGTTGAGAAACATGTCACAAAACATTTTTACTAAAAAAGTTTGGGTTTTTGGGTTGTTGGGTTTTTTTTGGCCAAATGAAAACTTTAAGTTGGAGAGAAGTTTTCTGGGGGTTTCTTAGAAACCATCCTTTCTTCATTTTTTTGGATTTTTTTGAAAATAAAATAGTGCTGATTTATGTCAATGCAGACCAAAGGCTGAGGTTGATATATATGAAACTGGAGAAAAAGGCATCTCTATCAAGAGGACCCAGCTATGGAATGAGCTTCCAGAAGAGCTTAGGTGAAGTAAAAATAGAATAATCCTGTAGTTAGGGGTCTAGCCAGGGGTATAGGAAATCTGATTTCTAAATTCGACACTTGACTTGCAGCGTGATTTTGGCCAAGTTATCTTCTCTGGACCTTGATTCCTATCTATATAATGGGGATACTATCATACTAACATTTTCTAACTTTACAAGTGTCACCATGACATACTTCATAAGACTATTCTAGGGATAAATCCATCAAAGATTGGCAGACATTTATTTGGATACTATAGTAATGGTGGCCAAAGGATTCTTTTTTATATAAGAATTTATTCTGATTTTTTTAGCAGATGCCTGAAAACCTGGATCTTTGTTAAAAGTATTTTAATTGTAGCAAGTGGCACCTCCATACTATCCTCAAACACACCCAGAAAAAAAAACATAAAGATGTATGTAACACACTCAAGTAACCTAAGAAAAAGACATCCCTCAAACCAAACAGAAAAGATACCTGGGTGATAGCTTTTATCTCCTATCTTTTATCTATTGACTCCTCTGTGAAATCCTACAAAAACCTGGATACCTGACTTTCTCTCTTGATGCCACATAACGTCAAGTAGGGATTCGTGGTTGCTGATCAGTTTTATATTGAGGGTGCTGGGGCATGGGGATGCTCAGACAGGTACTTCTACATCAGCACCTTCTTGTGGGAAGTAATTAAAAAAAAAATCACAAGAAAGAAAATAGTCGCCTCCTGCTGCCCTGCTAGTGATCCCTTCTCCTGGCTCCAGCTCTGGCCCTCTGTGCTCCCTGCTTCAGCTGCTCTCGGGTTCCTACATTTTGGGTCCACTTGAAAACTCCCCGCTTTATTGAGAGATCTCCGCTGAGAACAGGCATAAGCAAGGAGGAGCGTTTCGAGGAGCTGAGAAAGGGTCTTCCAAGAACACCTGAGGAGGAAGCCCGCGCACAGCACAGGGCCGCCGAGCGTAGGTCCGCCCTGCCGGCAGCCGCAGCGCGACGAAGCGCTGACTGATGTGACTCCGGGACAGGAACCACTGCGTTTCTTCTGCCGGATTGGTCGAGCTGGTGGCAGGCGGAGCGTTCATTGGCTGACGAGGGAAGGGGCGCGGCTTCGCTCTGCAGAAGAGGCTCACGTTCCACGCGCGCGCTGCTGCAACTGGGGACAGGCGCTCGGAGCGCGATTGGAGGGGGAGGGGGCTGCGGCGGCGATGCAGACGGGCCGCGGGTGCGACGGGCGGTTCCCGCGCCCGGGGGATGCGG